GAACAGTTTGTGAAACTTTAACGTGTTTATCTCGTTGCGTTAGATCGAATCAGATTGCCGTAACGTGAAAATGAGAAGAGTGACTCCCCGAAGACTCCGTGTGCACTTTCGTTCGTCGTCAATCATAGTTAACCCTGTTCATCGATCTTTAGTTCCCTTTATAGCGTTCTTTATGGTCTGACTCATTGTCTAGGTCGGCGAAGAAAGTGGCAGCTTACTCTTCACGAGAACACATTGAAGAAGACAAGGCTACAGTTAATTCGAGGGGATGGTTAAGATGAGTAGCTGCACGAATTGTGAATTTACGATTGTCTTTTTTTTCGATTTAGAGGACGTTCGATGAAAGGAAACAATGTGAGCATTTACTAGCCGCAATGCAAATTTATTCTCGAAGTGTTACGGACAGTTTAGTGACAAGCATTTAGGGATTCTGCAGAGGTATCAACATCGGGACCCTTAACTATTCAAGTCGTAACCCTTCCCAATTGGATTTAATTATGTCATTGTGATCGATCTGTTTGCACAATTTACCCGTTATACTACGTGCTACGATTTAACAATATTCTTCCAGTACAATTGCGTGCATTATCGCAAATACTAATTGTTAAAGTTAATATTTTTCAAACTGTTGTATAGCTGTGGAAAGTTTATAATGGTATACCTGTGACGTGTGTAATCGCAGTATACAATTTTTCTTAGTTTTTAATTACTTTTAGATTTTCTTTTGTTTGTTTATTAGTTAATCACTTCGTGAGCCGTGTTTCAATATACATTGCTATAATATTGAAAATCTATAATGTAGGTAATATGAATTATACACTTTTAGTACTGACAGTATATATCGAAATACATCTTGATGCGCTAAGACTAAGATTTTTGTCTTACACAAACCAAGTAGATCAATTTTATAAGAAACATAAGTTAGATTGTAAATGTAATAAATAATCTCTATGGTTAGATTTATGTGGCAATAGATGCCTAACAATTAAAGTCGAAGATTACATTAATATTACTACATTATAGCGTTAATATTACTCGTATACTAGTTCAATAATTATTAATTTTACGTTAATATTATACATATACTAGTTCATTAATTTTACTGTAAGAATTATGTTTTTAATGAAATAAATCTTATAAAAATTTTACAAAAAAGCTATAATAAATACATATCTATTATCCTTTAAAATATATATATATTATATATATATATATATAGAGAGAGAGAATATTATTTTTAAATAAAATTAATATAATCATACGATGAAATTCTTCCTTTCTATAGAACATGCGAAGTTAAATTCCTTTTAACTAAGGGAATTAATACAATCAGCTGGGCAATTCCCAGTTTGGTACAGATGTATATGTGATAAATTACATAAGAAGTTCTACAGAATAAACATTCCGTTCATAGTTCGAGTTTGGAACACAATAGCTAATACTACTTTCTATTACTATGGTTCTCCCAGACGTTATTACCGAACGAAAGCATTCACCTATTATGCAGGAATATTGATCGGATTATTCTACTAAGCCACATCATTTAAGAGAAACTTACAAATTATTGTCTTCTTGAAAGACGTAAGCATTGCGCAGCAATGAACCGATTAGTTTTCATTATCACATCGAGATTCCTGTTATTAGTCCAGGTCATCTGGCAATTTTCTATACTAAATGCTTGGGATTAACGATCGCGTATTACGCGCTTTACGTGCGAAAAACGAAACGCGTGAACAGTGTTCAGGAATGACCAGGCCGAAAGGCAAATCGCGAAGAGGGCCGACTGCTCCCCGCGGGGCAAATTTCCGATTTATTCAAGCTCGCTCCCAAATACTTGGGAGCCCATAAAGAGAATGAATGGGATTGTGGCGGTCGCCGCAATGCTCAGGGCTGCTTTAGGGGTTCATGAAATACGCGCTCATCGCTTTCTCTCTCTCTCTCTCTCTTCCTTTCTCTCATCTTTCACTTTCTATCTTTCTCTCTATCCCTCCTTTTGGACTTTCCCTGTTCCTTCCTGCCCTCCAACTCACGCGTTTGGTTCTCCCTACACGCTCTTTACCCCCTCTCGGTACTTCGCGAATCGAAACTCCTCTCTGCAGGGTGGCCAGCGGTATTACCATGAATTTACATAGCTTCGCTTCGAACTCCGAACATATTGCGCTGCTTTGATTTATGCGAAACATTTGCTAAATATTCCGGCTTAATCTCGGCCACGCGAAATACCGCTGTGGGAGAACGCGAGCTTGCGTTTGCTCTCGTATAACGATACTGCGCAGCATTTCTTTAGAAGCATGGTAAACAGAACGTAAATAGGCACTTTATAAATGTCGGTTCACGGAGAGAGCTTTCGACCTCACTCAATAGCAAGCGCTTGGAAAACTCACGCGGCGTCGAAGATTTACGGGAAAACAAATCATTTTGGGAGACACCCTGGGATCACCGGCGAAAATATCTATTTCGGCAAACTTTAAGGATTACGCGCGTTGTGATTTATGGTCGCATCGGCTAGGTGCGTACGAGTCACGCGTCATATTTTAATATTTCATGAATAATTTATTAGTCTGATGGAATAAAAATTATATATGGATTTAAAAAGCTCTTTTCACTGTGGAGTCAACATTCATACTGCTCGCTAATATATCAAAATTAAATGTATGTGAATGCATGACAATACAGAGATACATATAGATATGTATGACAATACAGAGATGCATATACGGACCAGCAATATTATCGATGAACGGATAATGTCTAAAACAACGCGAAACATGATTCTCAGTTACGTGGATTCTCATTGACAGTGTTCTCGGATTTCCTCGAACTCACCCTCGAGTCGGCCTACTTCGCACTTAAGGCTTCCTCAACGGTGCCAACGATCGCGGTTTAGCTAAGGGTAGGTGCTTACCCTGAAGCCGGTGAAGTACGTAAAACTACATTGCCTAGCTACAATTACATGACTTAACAACGGTAAATGAATGATAAGCTGTTCTATGAATATACCATCGCTTCGAGTTGCCTATTTGCCTAATGGCGTTATTGCCTGACCAAACGCGTTTCAGCACTACTGTTAACTACAACTTGTGCTAAAAGAACTCCGCATTAATTATATAAAAAATTAAGTCTCGGTGAAATAAGTTAGGTTTCATAAATAATGTAGCTTATAATGTGAGATAAATAAGTCATAAATACAAGGCTCAATTATGGGTAGTTTTTAAGCTATCGAAGATTTGAAATTCGTGCTCACCTTTGATAGCTCAAAAATTATCCATTATTAAGCCTTGTCTATGATATCTTTTGTTTATCACATAAGCTGCATTATATGTGAGATATTAACTCATTTTACCGGAACCCAATTTTCTATATTTTCTTATAATTTTTTCTTATAATTTTCTAATTAGTGCGAGGTCCATTAACGCTTTAAATGTCTTTTCGATATGGCATACTTAGTTTTTTTTAATACTTTTCTATAATTTTTTTATTAATAAAGATACATATAATTGCTTGATACTGTCATGTTCTTTAATTATGTTTCTTAATATTCGGCTTAATGTCTGGTTCGATTGAAAAAAAAATTTACAATATATTCATTCTTATGAAAGTTATATAATCGGTATTCGAATTGTGTTGTATATACACCAGTGTGCTATTTCCATAATAAAACTTTTAAAGGATTAAGTTAAGCAGTTTAATATAACACAGAATTCTCGGAGAAGTTACGCGCACAATCTGTATAATTTTTGTATAATAAGATTAAAAAGAAAATATAAAAGAAAATGTGTAAAGTAACTTACCAGTTGTTTTAACTTGCATACTTTGGCATATCTCTCTGCGAATCGATTTTTCTGCCCCACGCAGTTCTCTCCGTCACTAAGTGCTAGTTGCGTCATTTCTCGATACCTCCGTAGTTATTTCCACTTTTCTGCGAACCGATCGTACCTCATTCCATTCCCTTCGTTGTCCTTCGACCGTTTATCTTTCTCTTTTTCTCTATATCTTTTTTGTTTTGTTTTCCACTTCACATATTCATACGGCGCTCTCTTTTCACAATAAACGCAGACCATTTGCATGCAGAGTTCTCGCGCAAAACTCCCTCCGCAAGCCAAGCATCCCCGTGGACTCCGCCACCCCTTTTGGGGTCTCCGACGCGATAAGCCGCCCCCGGGGATCAGCGATTGTCTCGATTTATATGCAATGCATAGACGTAGATCGTGGTCGCGCTCTCGGTTCTCGCGCACATCGGATGGGACGAGGCATTTACGCATCGATAGATCGATTCTCCCGTCAGACAGTAAATATCACTGATGAGCTGGTCCAGTCAGCGTCGACGGGGATTTCAGGACGCGGAGGAGATTTGGGGTGCTTTTACCCTGCGATTTGTCGAGTGGTAGAAATCCTCTGCCGTTCGACGTCGGATACTTCTCCACGGATTTTCATCCGCCACTTGTTCTTCATTTTTTCAGCAACATTTTGCGTATTTTCTCTTCCTACACGGAAAAGGTGCGTGCTTTGATAACGTCGAAGGTAACTAGCGAGGACAATGACTGGCTTGCTTTAGTCGTTTCAAGGATTCAAATAAAAGTAAATTGGTTTTATTCTTTGGAAGACCGAGTGTTACAAGGATATAACAATTCAACATTATAATGTGCTATAATATAAATTATATTATAGCTATAATGTGCTATGTATATAAATTATTATATCACGTTATACTATACTATTCATTACATGAAGATTAACACTCTTTATGCATCTAAAAGATTAAAAATCAGCTCTTGCGTGAGCTTGTGATGCAGATTTAAAGAGCATGGGCGAAGTTTTTCAGTTATCGGAGTTCGCGTCATTTGATGAAAGTCATCCCTTACAAGTTTGAAACTCTATTAAGAGTAGGGACACGAAGAGCGATGAAAGTTCGAGAGAAAATTTTCATTGGGTGGAGTGGTTAATGGGAAATGGTAATACCGAGCACGATATATATCATTTCCTCCCGTTTGTGCTTGCAGGTATCGTTGTGCGACGATTACAGTCTACCTGTCGACTTTGTGAACAAGAGACGTCCCGCGAGCGCTGCAGCTGCAACGTCCACGGTGCAATGGACGCTACCTAGTCCTACTGTAGAGAATGTAAGTAATTCAACACTGTTATAAAGATTTGAAATTAAATTGCTTATAGCTTATTTTTCAAACATAGAACAATTAAAATACTTGTATAAATAGGTGATTTATTTTAAACTTTTCAAATTTAACAGATTTATACCTAAACCTTACTATCGTGATACGTTATGTGATTCAGTTATGAAACAATGGCACATATATTCAGTACTTTGCATGAAAAATTTAATTAAGAGATTAGACGTGGCGGCAATATATAACTTTAGAATAATGTTTTTACGCAGTGCGACATTATTGCGGTTACGATAAAACTTTATTCACCACAGTCGCGCCTTTATCTGTATTCACAGTTCAATGAATTTTGCGTTAAGCAAACACGCTACCGTTACACGTTCACGCGTCCCCATTGTGGCACGTTCCCAGTCCAAAAAGTTTATCGATATTTTCCTCCCGCGACGTGCAGTGAATCAAAAAAGGTCAGGGGATTACAATATTTCTGCAGGAAAACAAAATCCTTTGTAGAATAACTTTTCCATAATCTGCATATGAAGTATATGTTGTCAATAATCTTGCAAGTTTTGTCTTTATTAAGAAAATATTATAAAAATAAATGTCTTGATTGAATCTAATTAATGAAAAAAATTCATGAAATGTTGTGAAAATAAAGTGTTTATGTTGCATTTAGAGTCAGCATATTATAAGATTTCAAAGTAAACATCCTACACTCACGCAACCCTCGACTGTCTCGTCCTCTGCACATAATACGCGCATGACGTCACTTCCTGCAACTGTGACCCGAGCCGTTTTGTCGGCTAACGATAGTATTGATATTTTCGTAACGCTGACGGCTGGGGAATCAGTCGAAGGGAGAAATATAATTACAGTGGTGACAAAATACCCGCCGGGCACGGTGTAGAGCAAAGGGCATCGTGGGGGCGTTGGATGAAGCGTGTTGGAGAGTGTGAGAGGTGGTAACAACGAAAGGAACGAGAAGCATCGTTGGCTGGGTGGAGAAACCGGTGACTTCCGGCGTTGCTTATAATTGCTCCACCACTCAGTTTTTGGTGTCTGGAGTTGCCTCGAGCTCTTCGCCTAAACGCTTTGACAGTACAGCTTCGCCTTCTGCGGTTCACGAAAATACGCTCGAAATATCGTGTTTTGCGGTTTTCTCACCAAGAAATGGAGCATTATAACACATAAAAGTGAACATATTCTGCAATTTGTGCAATTAATCTTTTAGATTATTTAATTTTATAATTATCAGATTCGCACGTCTGCGAATTAATAATTACGAATAGTTATTTAATAATTTTTTCAGCGACCAGCAAAGAAAACTCATAGATCTTTTAAATTAAAGTTTTTATAAATATCTATAGTTTTTATAAATATCTATGGTTTTTACAAATATAAAATATACTTTTTAAATTTCTGTTTTTGCACTAGGTTTTATGTTTATTTTATATAGTACATTACATATCACGCGCATTATCACTTTTTTTATTCATAACCGTGTTTGATATGTTAATTCGAAAAAATTTAATTCGTTACCGTCAGCTCGGCGTCTGATTACTATACAAATAAACGGAAACGAGGACCGCGCCGCGCGACCGTCGCAAGGGAGTTTATAAAAGAAAGAGAAAGAAATGTCGCAGAGAAGGGACGACACCTGAGTGCGCCGAACAAAAGTTTCCTTCGCTTCGTTGTCACCGACAACCCCCGCGAGCGTCGCAAGGGGGAGTGTGACAAAGACGGAAAGCGGGTGCCACTTGACTCGAGAGGGTGAATCGTTATGAGTCGTGCTCGTAAGCCCTACTTAATACTTTAGCGCTTTATTTTATGCGTGAGATCGAGCACTGGTGTTGCTCGCATTTATCACTATAACAAAGAGCTTGGGGGTGTAAAACTTTAGTAAACGTGTCTTTCGAGAGTTGCAGTTATACATGATTTTGACATTTTGTTCGTTAGTTCACAAACTTCGATTTGCAATTTTCTTGGTTATGTTTCAATCGTGAGAGGCGACCGATTTATTTTTCAATAAACGCAGAGCGTATATTAACAAAATGCCCAGGGGGACTCGTCGTTATTTGTATCAGGTGGAATTCACAAAAGCGATTAACTCACGACGGGGAAAATTACATTGAAAAGTGAACGTAATTAATTCCTGACTAGTTCGGAGGGACGCGTCTTTCTGTAAGAATTCCGGAAAAAATTCACTGCGTGAGGAAAGTGCTCGATGTCAAGCTCTTTGTGCGATGTCCCTCGTCCGAGAGCGAGAGTGATTGATACTCTTGCCGCTAAAAAGCGCTTTTACGTGAGTCTTATCTTGCATCGCTCATTTTTCTTGCCACCTCCGCTTCACCTGACGCCATTATCTGCATACTGTTAATGATGTCTTATATTATTGCGGATACTGTAGAAATACTGACTCGCTCCACACAAAATTAAGAGCGATCGACGTCGCTGATGTAACGTTTCCTCGAGAGTGCCATTCTGTGTAAGGGCGTTATTTATGTTATGAACTATATCGCTAGTCGCCATTAATATAGCTCTTTACAACGCTACGATATTAATATTTATATCTCGGTGAAACTTTTTGATAAGTTGTTTTATTTTTTGTATTTATAATAATTAAATTTAGAGGAACTGTAATTAGTATACATAATTAATAATTAGAGAGAACTAAATCATTAATTTATTTTATGTCTAATGTTTTTCTTTGTTTTATGTCAATAATCCTTCTTTAAAATGCATTATTAACTTTTTTAAATATAATATGCATCAAATTTGAATATATCATCCATTTAAATTATTTAATTCTATCGACATCATCTGACACTAAATGTATCGTAACATACTTGTTGGAATGATAGTCAAAATTTTGAAAAAAAATAAATCTTTTTAGTATAAATCATTTATTAAAATGCCGTTGAATGAATTAAAAATTTGTTTAACATTCCATTAAAATTAGATCTGAAGAAATTAACAAAATACAGTTGGCTGCGTTCGCTTTTTACGATTATACATCGCTTGAAGCATTATTTTGTCTCTTTTGTTTATCCAATATTAAACAAAGACAAGTGACGTTTACAAGTTCTGTCATCGCAAAAGCGAATGCAGATAATGATGAAAGTTTCGTTTTGCCACGTAGACTCATAAATACAATAAAATTACGCGATTAGATCAGCCAATAATTACGCCAAATTATAACGCACTGACCAAGTAATCGGATTAAAACCCTCGATAAATCGGACGGTATTAACAACTGAATATGATAGGGTGTGATGCGCATTATTTGCATTGCATTCAGTGCCATTGCATTCGATGCAATCCTCAAAGTGGTCAAACAGTTTACACACGGAGGGAAATTCGAGCAGCAAGTTGGGACACTGTGTGTGTTTATTATTTGCCATAGCTCTTCTGCCGCCAACGCCGCGACAGCTTTACAGATTTACTTTACCCGCTTAACGAGGCATCGCTTAATCCGCACGTTTTCACTCGCCGAATCGAACGACAATTCGATTTCTTGTCGGCGTTGCACGCCGATAACCCCGCGTAATCGTTTTCGCAACCACCGGCATGGGATTTGGCGAACGCGTTCGCGCTTCGCGGAAAGTCGAGTCAGCCCGTTCGTCATCGGATTTGCAATAACCGAACGAACGACTTCCATAGAGCTTGCGGAATCGCTCCCGTAATTTCCGTATAAACATCTACGAATTTATCCGTTTCACGGAGGAGGGATTGTGCGACGGTAGAGTGAACGAGCTAGGTAAGGTGGCTGGAAGCAATCGACTTCGTCTTCGAAATAGCCCCTGGAGGCATAGCGCTCAACTTTGGCAGGAGAATTCCAATTTTGGGCTCTTTCCATTTAAGGCTACTTGTCTTCCCCACCGTCACTTTCTCGTTCGTCTTACATTGCTGAGATGTCTGCTCGTCTCGCCTTGCTGGGCTTTCTTATGCACCATCTTATTTCTTCTTTTACTGCGCTTCTTTAACTTCGATATAACGTTAAAACAGAGAGAGAGAGAGAGAGAGAGAGAGAGTGAGAGAGAGAGAGAAGAGGAAAGCTTTCATTGATGGGTTCTTTTTTACCCAGTGCTAAAAATCTGCAATTTTCATCATTTGTTACCCGGAAAAGATATATAATCTTTATTTTTATTATCATTACTATCATTCATAATATCGACAGAGCATCGATCGCATAATCGCAGTGGAACCGAACGGCTTCCGCAGGAAATACGAGAAACTCTGCCTCGCTCGTGGTCGATTAAATTCAGTCAAGAGAAATTTATTTCTTCCGTTCGTTCTTTTGGGTTGAGATTGTTAAGACAAATATGACTAGCAATTCGCTTTATATTATAGTCGTACTAAGAAGTATTCCACCTTCAAGCTTAATCTTTATACTAGCAGGATATTAATGTTCATCGTCATCTGGCTGATTATTTGAGCGCTACGGTTAATTCACCGAGACACACGTGCTAGCGGAAATGAATTGTCGTCGCAGTTGTTTTCTCTCGAAATAACGATCATCATTTAGGGGACGGCTGGAAGCGTGTCCCCTCGAGTCCCGGTTAACGTATTACCGCAATTGGCTGCATTCAGGACCAGAAAATGGCATCAAGTTGCCGTGTAAATTCAAGCGTAGCTATCTCTGACGATAATCCTTCTCAAAGATATTCTCTCCTGGGACAAAGTTGAGTATTACCGTGCACGCGAGAACGCCGAGGAAAATGCACCTTGCCAAATTAGTATTGTTACAGTAATTTAGACCAATTTCTCGTTTGATATACCGTCTATCCTATGTCATTACGAGTCATATATTAAGGAAGAGAACTGTATTCTCTAATGGAGGTGCCAGATCGATCGCTATTTCAGACGAGGATGTACATATGGAATCTCTTTCGAGTGGAAATGGAAGGAAACAATTTGTGTTTTGTTTGCAGGCGGAAATCGAGGTTGTGGAACAATACAGCGACCCTAGAGACAGCAAGAGTAAAGCGTACGTGGAACCAGGAGCGGAGTTGTCCTTGCCGACGATTTACAGCAGAGAAAATCGTAACTACTGTCGACCGTACACAGGTGGGTTTTTTTTTTAAATCGACATTGTGACTGAAATAAAGGATTTAATTCTAACTAAATCATATAATAGAGTTGTTGCATATTGGATGGACATATAAATAGCATTCTTCTGTTTTGAGATACAAATAGATGTCGGGAATATTTAATGAGAAGACTATAGCTTTCCACTAAATATAAAGAAAAATTTTAAATATTAAAATTGCACTTTTTTATTTTATATCAACGATCGATATACATATAATTAAATATGATACACTAAAATATTTTTAATTATATTATTATGTAATATCAGATTATTTTTATATGATATAATTAAAAATAATATGATATTACATAATATATAATTAAAAATAATACTAAACATATAGAGTAATAAAATAATAACGATAAATTAATTGCGGTATTCGAAGCATGAGACGTACTTCCGCGGCGTTGAATATTGGTGAAATGTTCGGAATCTACATTGATTGATCACTGACGGTGTGCGATAAGTTCCGGGATAACGCAGTTAAGCGGAAATTCTCATGCTAGGCCGCAAATTAATGTGGCGAGCCGCCGGGTTACGGCCGATACTACGACGTACGAATTATCGAGGTAACAACTCAGTTAGCGTCGGGTAAGAGAGGGAGAAGAACCCCTCGATAATTGAACGGTACGCACAGGTTGGTCGCGAGCGGCTAACGGATTAATCGACGGGGTTGCTCGAAATAGGGGATCGTCTCTTTTTCGCAGTGGATGATATTCGTCGATTCGGTGAGATTGCAAAACTGCCAGATGGGGATTCGTACAGATTAGAAACTCTCGTATCTTCACACGGTCTTGAGCAGCGCGGAAACTTTGAGACGTTAGCGAGAGCTGCGGATTAAATTCTTGCCGTAGTATCTTCACGAAGGAATGCTGTGGGTTGTGATTAACCCTGCACGATTGTTCCGGATGTACGATACGAACCTGATTCGCAACCCTCATCGCGCGTCACCGGGTGTACCCGACACTCGAGTATGCAGATTGCCGTGTAACACTGATCCCGAGTAAACACTGGCGGAATTTACATCCTTACCATATTCATGGGCTTTTAATTCGCAAGTCATTGTGAATGTAGCAAGGATCAACATGAGGCCTGTGCAAAGATTTGCTTCCTTCGGCAGGACAGGGGAAACATATGACCTTTCCCCATTTGTTTTCCTAGTGACACGATAATATTACTAAATGTATTACACGTGCTATTTTGTTCTCTTACGATAGGTTATAGTGATGAATTTCGAAGAAATATTTCCGAGATTATAATGTGTTATTTATTTTTCTCATCTCGTCTCACCTCGACATCTTTAACTATGTTCCAAAATTTACTACCAGTACTGAAAATCTATAGTTTACGTCACGTGCACTATAGATTTTCAGTACTGGCAGTAAATTTTGGAACACAGCCTTTATGATAGTTATAATTATATAATGTGTTGCCTGGTTATATAAATATTTCAAATAAATGAAACGAGATAGTAGATATTCTCGAATGTCTCGAGATTAAATTGGATAAAATCTTGAGAAATGAGAATATCGGCTCATTGAGACGAGAAAATTGTATTAATCATCTGTTTTTATCGAACCTAAATCTCGGTATCAATGTTTTCTCGTCTCGTCTAGCTCTAATGCATCACTACGATAGATATAATCTACTTAGCTTTCTTTGTTATTGATATACTTACCACAAATGTAGGCTTGCGACAGTGCAGGTAACTTGGGACAGCATGTACTTTTGTTAAATTCAAACATGATATCTATTCATGAGTCATTAAAGAAAATTAAAAATTGAAACTTTCTTTAGAAACTCATGAATGGATACCACGATTGAAGTTAACAAAAGTACATGCTGTCCCAAGTCACCTACATTTACGGAATATTTGCTCCATAACGGTTCTTTCGTCGTCTCACGACAAAATCTCCACAGCAAGGCTTTCGACGGAGGCATTATAAGATTAAAAGTAAATTGTCGTCCTTGCCATTCGAGGAATGCCGTTCCTTTCGCGAGAATTGAATCAGCAGTCGCGTCGATGGGGGGTGAATATAAGGGAAGCGCGTGCGCGCGAGGGTGGGCCGAATGGAATTTTCAGACTGGCCGCTTTATAAAAGGGTACCGATGACGCTGAAATGTCTGGACGGTTCGCCGCCCTCCGTTAACTTCCGGTGGTAGCGACGTAGCGTCCCCGTTGTCCGTTACTACAAGTTTAGCTTACTCGCTTGTTGGCACGAACTTTTCGGTCTCGCGGGCTGTCCCCGACGTTACTTGCCATCGACACCACGCGTGGTGCCCCGCCTGCCATAATATGTCGTGTGATATTTAATTAAACTTCCCATCCCTGCACCGCCGAACCACCCGTAGTATCGCCCGCCCGTTTTCATTCCGCTTTCATAGTCCGTAAAGTTTCAAGGGGTATTTCAAATTGTGTGCCTGCTCGCTACCGCATTTTCCAGCGCCATTCCACTTATTAACCGTGTTTCACAGTCAGCCCTCTCGACAGATTTTTCTCGTCTTTCTCTGGAGTACGCACTTCGTCGTGAGACAAATCAAATACGGCACATTGTACTGTTAACGACTTATGGCGAACTAAAAGCAAAAATTTCTTTTGTCTGAATGAGATTATTTTTTTAATGTTTAAAAATATTTACATTTAATCACGTTATGAAGGAAATATGGATGCAATAAATTACTACACTGAGTGTTCCATAATTATTTAATCCAGTAATGGCAATTCTGGAAAATTCATGTATTCTGCCTTCTTTCAATTGATATTAATTAAATTTTGTTTTAAAGAAACCTACCATAATTTTAATTACATTTAATATCACGCGAATGTACGATGTGTCACTAAAAGAACTTTTGGGCTCCTCGTTTGTTCGTGCGACCCCTCTTCAAAGTTACCCTCATTTCAATTACTGGTACCAGGTGACTTGTAGCTCATTCCGCGTCCCCGAGCAGTTAACGCCTGTGCGGGTCCATCGTATGCAAATGTCAATCCGTCCGTCGGTTTGCGTCCGTCGTCCGAGTTGGAGAAGGCGGGCCTGGTGTTCATCAAACGCTGTTCAAAAGCTGCCGTACATATATTTGTTAGCGGAAATTTATATTCGTGTGCAGAATACTGAGTTAGAGCTGCAGACTATTCATTGTAACACTGCTTAATGCAATCCTTTTTCTTCTATATTTGTTTGAATAATCTGCACACGTAAGCTTTAATGATATTTTGTAATATTATAATCTTCCATATTTTCTAAAATAATTAGACTAATACAATTTATATGTGTGATATAAATAAGCGTAATATATATGGTTTTTTCCTTTGTATCTCCAGATCAAAGTAGCCTGACTATACTCTCAGGCCACTCTGATCTTGAATAGCTAGGGTTGCCAATTCCATACTCACACATATGTGAGCTCCTGAGGGGGATTAATTTCATTATCCAACTAAATACAATAAAAACGCGTTCGTAACGATTAAGCATACTCGAAAACATCCAATCTTCACCAGTTTCCATACTTCACGTAAACAACTTGAAAATCTGATCGCTATGAAGATGAATAGTTAACAAGATCCTTCAGTCCTTATGCCTCCGTTGTCATCTAGTCTTTGTTCTCTCTCCCTGTCTCTTTCTCTTTCCATCGCCGTTTCCCTTTCCGCCTTACTTTCGGATACGCCATATCCCTCACTTTCTCGCGTCGTAAACTAGATCATTTACAAACTGTCACCAGCATAATTTTGGCTCGTCCGACGATAAGTACGTGCTTAGATCTGGAGACGAGATCTTATTCCCCGAGCAATTTTGCGAGCTAAATTCGCGCATCGCTATGGCAAGATGGAAAGTTTATCGCATATAGCGGTATCGAGGGACGCGCCGTGCAATATCGGCATGGATGAATTGACGTCAAAGCCTTCAGTTTTACTACACGATTTTTGTCAGAAAAAATCATTTGAAACCTCTGTTAAAAGGATTATTAGATTTTGTCCGAAACTGACTCATTGCGTCCTATTCTCGTTAGCAATATGTACCGGGACACGAATTAACGTCCTAATCATATCATTTCGTTTCGTTTACCGTAAATCCAAATCCCCCGATTGACTGTTTTAGTTTTCTCTTTGGCAATTGGACCTTTCAGTTCATACTGAGAGTGTAGGGTGAATAAAAAGTGGTTAACGAGATTCGTATGTGAATAATGTTTTCAAGTAACTTTTTGATAGGATTACTTTTTTATACTGAAAAAAGAACGCATTGTTTGTAAAAGTTTTCTTTGTTTATTATGAAACGAATGAATAACGTTGTTACCTTAGTCGGTTTTATATCGATGCGAAATTTTAAAAACAACACAGGCAGTTTTGTCACTCGACATATTCGGCAGACTTGGAGGGCAAAGGTCGGTGCTAAGCTACGAAGCCGAACCCTTCGCCAGGAGGGAGCCCTTGAATTCATTTCATGGGCAATTACAATTAGCATTTATGCCACGATTTGCATATCGTTGCGAGACAATTTCGCGCGCGCTTGGCTTAATCTCTGTGTCAGATGCTTTCGCGTCATGCAAGAAACGTTCGTAGCTGCTAAAGATCGCCTATCTTACCGTATAAACTACTGAAATTTCCGGTGAGATCCCGTGACCCTCGAGATAACGCTTAGCACAGCGAGAGAATTCTAACGGTGAGAAGTCGTACTACAATATTCAAAATTGATTTTATAACCATATAGCCCGATCTACAATTGCGTAAACGTAGATGTAAGGTTATGGGAGTATAGTAGTAGCAGTAAACGTTGTACAATATATTAATCTACAATCGAATAAAGATTCAACGAACTTTCATCTTCAAATTGAATATTGTTCACAACACTTTCTCCGTGTTCTATACTCGTAATACAATATATTTGTAATATAATAAACTCGTCAAATAATACATCATAAAATGAACTCAATAAAAGATGAAAAGAACACTTTGCATTTCTTTCCATACATCGAGACAAAA